ATATATATATATATATATATATATATATATATATATATATATATATATGATATTTCCCTTCAAATATCTTGTATGACATATTCACACACCACAACTCCTGTTACTTTCAGAAATATGATCTACCTAAAGAGGTGGTGTTGTCTTTAGAGAGAGATATTGGTGGGAAACTAAAGTAAAGAAAATGTAACAATTAACGCTGGTCTACACCTTACACGTTAGGAACTTAGTAACCGTAGTGTTTGTAAAAGATGAATCATAATTGATGTTCTTTATCAATTAACCCAATGACGCTGGGTTGTGTGTAGCCCTGGGTGGACTGTATTCCAGGGAAGCAGTAATTCTTGCAGGCTTCTGTGCCTCCACTGACCGCTTGCAATGTGCATAGCATGTCATTATAGCCTTTTACTCTTCTTTATTTCCTTGTTTCTTTTGTTGGTGCTTCAACTCTTATATTTGATTTTGCATCTTGCCATATATAGCCATGTGTATCAGCCATTTTAGCAGTTATATATACATATATATTTTTTTAATTAATTCATAGACCCACATAGAAGATATTGTCTAATTGAGTCATCTTTCTATTAAGATTATAGGTTTATGTGAAAAGAAAAAAAATGGGGGTTTGCTACTTTACATGATTTTGTTACAAACAGAAAAATGATATTGGATAATTCTTTACAGTACACTCACCAGAGACTAAGTCCCCAACTCCACATCACATACTTTATTCCGACAGTCTAAATTGCAGTGACTGGGCATGAACATGTGGTACTGGCTGAAGGGAGGGTTGATAAGGTGCTATGCCCAGCAAACATTATCATCACTTTCTTAAGCATAGTAAGATAGAGTTGAAACTCTGGAGGACTGAGTGGACTTAGGCTATGAGTGGCACTTTCCATGATCATTTTCCTTTATTTTTGGTGTAACTGCTAGATTCTGCTGATCATTTCTTGTAGCAATGACTACAAAGATTAACCTGATACTGTATTTATCTTCTTAAATAGATACATAGAAAAAACAGGAAAAGAATTAATAGGTTAGCCTACCTAAGCAAGAGTTGGAGATCCACCAAATCTGAATGCACTTGCTCAGGTTCTTGCATGTGCATGTGCACAAGCATACATGCACCCCCCCACACCCACACACCCACATGAGAGGGAGAGGGATAGAGAGTGAGTGTGAATGTGAGTGAGTGTGAGTGTCTAATGCAGTGGATCTCCAACTGCATCAAGCAAGTCCTGTTGTCACTGTGGCACAATCGTAATATTAACACTATCCTCACTTGAAAACAGTCAAAGAAAGGATACATTGCAGGATAGAGACTGAAAGATCTATTAGGTGGTGAATAGCTGCTGGTTGCAGCAGAGTGAGAGCATTAACACAAGCAGTTGAAAGACAACTAGAAACCATTGGATAAACTATGGTTAAGGTGTGGGAGATGACAAAAGTGATTCAGAGCTGTACCCCCTAATGTACACTTGTCCCACAAGTTCAAGAAAGGGGTAAGCTGGAGAAGCTAAATATGATGGCATAAACCTCAGGTAAGGTTTACATACATGAAACTATAAGGTTCTTGAAACTTATAATTTTTAAAGTGATTAAGGTAGTTGCAAATATTATTAATATTATCACTATAATCCAAGCATCTATATTGCCAAATAACTTGAAATAATCACCAAAGTCAGGAGGAATTATTTTTCTGAATTACTTAATGCAAGCTGGCGTCAGTGGGTTAAATTACTTGATGGCGAAGTTATCTGTACTACAATGAATCTGGATTGGAATGAGGATATTTAATCAAAACTATAGAAAAAACATTATTCAAACTTGTGGTACGAAATGCTTTAAATTGTATATTGTCTTAGCTTTCTTTATAAAAAAAAAAAGGTATAATTCTCCAAAACCGAAATCTTTATCAGTCCCACCATTATCATTTTAGTGCCATATGATCCAAGTTGCCAGGAGCTATAAGCTATTCATCTACTATTTGTTATCTTTTGTAGTTGTCCCCTTAATGTACAGCTTTTACTCTACTTCAACATCTCTTTCTGATAAAGACAAAACAGTAGTCAAGACAAACATACATTGGTAGAATTCCTTAGTAGAGAGCCAGGAGAAGGCAAACCATGCTTACATATCTAGTCTCATGTATTTATTAGAAGCATACTTTACTAGAGATAATTAGATTTTTTTAAAAAAAGAAAGCTATTTATAACTTAATCTACATGTACTGGAGCTTCTCCTTTGCAAGTATTAGTCATAAGTAGCTTGACTAGGGGTTGGGACAACAAGCATCGTGCTTTCAGATTTTGAAGGTTGAATACACTGTAGGTAGTTTTTGTACCATAAAATGGATGTTCAGATTTTAGCGAATTTGATCACTTGCAACATTATTTTAGTGCAGTGTAATTCCCTCTACCTATTGTTGCAAGTGATTAAAATGTATTAGTAGTAATTACAGTAGACCAAAAAAACAAAAAATAAAACTAAATAAAGTATGTATCATTAAACCCAGAGATTAATTGTAAGTGCAGGAGTGCAAGGATGTATCTTATTTTATGGTTTGCACTTTTAAAGCAGGACTTCCAAGTAATTGGCATTGTTTTTTTTGTTTTTTTTTTCCAGATTTTTTTTTATTTACCATGAGGCTAATTATCTGTTATTGTATATAAATGAACTTAATTTTATTATTATTATTATTATTTTTTTTTTAAGAAAGCCTGTCTTGAATTATTAAAATAAGTAGACAGGAGTAGATAGTTTACCTTTCCTAATATTGTGTACATTTCCTAATACAGTAAGGAATATCTCTATTGTCTCTTTCTTGGATCAGCTAAATTACATACACTTCATGAGAGAGTGATGTACTTGAGTATGGAAGGGACCAACAAGAGTAGATATTTGAGATACCTTAGAGGCATTTGCTTTTCAGTGTTGTTAAACACTGAGTGTATTGAATGAAAGTTTAGACATTTTATTTAAAAGTTTGAAAATGATGTTCAATAGGCAAAAGAAAAGAACAAAAATAAAATAAAAAATTAAATTTAGCATGCATCTTAGGTATTAGGTCATGTACAGGTGAGCTAATGCTTGAATTATGTTGGTTTGTGATTGAGAACCTCAGATGAAATTAACTTCAGATTACTAAATTAGAATTTGCAGCATTCTTGGTTATATATGTTTGCCTTATTAGTGATTATTAGAGATAATCAATAAAAGTGTTAGTTGTTTTTAGTTAATTCAATGGGAAGAAATAATTTGAAGTAAGCAAGCAGAGAACAAGAGCACATTCTTAAGTATGCATCATTTTTCCAGTATGCATCTCCCATTATCATACATGTATATAAATATATTATAAATATAGGTTGTCAATTGCATTTGGAAACCATTTTTTATTTTCTTCTTGTTTCAAGCTTTACATTTTACCACTTTTTGTGATATTTCATTATAATCTGTAATGTACTTCAATGACTCAAAATAAGTATAACATTTCTTATTACATACTTTCAGTGATAGAATCATAACTTTGTACAATTCTGTGTGAGAAGTTTCATAAACATAATACACACATTATGTAGATTTGCCCACCAATATGTATTTGGATATCACCTTGGTCTTTATCACTGTTTGTAGGTGCATTATGAGGTACAAACTTTAATCATATCTGTTGCTGTGTTATGTCTCATTTTGTTATAATGAAATTGTACTTTCATACAATTACTTATTCTATTTTATAACAATTTAGTAAAGACTTCTCTGTTAGAAGCCAGTTCATGAAGAAATTTGTTGAAGTCTCCAGAGGTCTTGTCTATATCTTGGTATGCAAATGAGACATGAATTGTATACTGCATTTGGAGGGAAGACCATTTTATAAGTCTTGTAAGTCTATTCCATTGAATATTGAAGTAATTTGTTCTCAATTACAGCAGTATTGGACATGGTTATTTAGAAATGTAAAGACAGGTGTTGGCTGTATGTACTCCATGATACTCCTGAATGACCTGAATAGACTGAGGCCGGAGTCTCTCGAGAGATTGCACATGTCACTTTCACTATGGTTGCTCTCTCTTGTTTTGTTATGGGAGTGCATTTTGTAACATGATAAATGCAGCATATTGAAAATATAATGATCTTGTCATGTATATCTGTAATGTTCCCAGTAATGTAGAAAAAATCAGTGAAATAATTTTTTGCATAGATTAAAGGAAGCAAAAAACTAATTGGCATGAAACTCTTAAAAATACCATTTGAAAATGTAATACTAAAAGGGATGAGGGAGGGTTTTAAGTATTTAAAAGCAGTATTAACAATGTATTGCCATGCTTTTTTGTGAATATTGTAGATAATTTCATGTACAGTAATGAGATATGGAAGTAAAATATTATTAAAACCTTTGTATCTTATTTAATAACCCAAAATTTATTTTACATTGTTCACTTGTTCATGGAAGTAGAATGAAATTATATTACAGAATATTATACAAAAAAAATCCAAGTTTATTTCCAATAGGAAACTTCCATCTCAGATGGAAGAAATGATAACGGATAGTGATAATAAAATAGCTTATCAAGAAACACTTTATTTTTTGCAAATAAAACTATAGTAATATCTGTATAAAAGGAATAATTAGAATATCAAAACTATATGTAACACATAAGAAAAATGCCTTTGGAGCTTGAGTACTTTTTTTTATTATTGCCCTTAAACCCCATTATACATTCTGTACATAATAATACCACCACTGGTGGACTTAAAATTTTGTACCAAATATCTTGTGTACCTATACTACACAAATTAAACAAGGTATTTATTTGAAATTGCCCAAATACTCCAAAGTTATTAACCTGAAAGGCATAAATGCACCTAAATATTTGCCCTAAAAAGTTATCAAAAGTGATAAATCTCAAGTGAACTATTATGTATACATTGGCCCTCAATTACATGTTTTGATTTTGTAAAATATATATCTAAAGCTAAACTGGGGTTTTACTGTTAGTCTG